ATGTGAGGCCGAACCTGCGCCTTGTAAAGTTGCAAGCAGTGTGCCGGCATGAAATACTGTATCGCTCTGCTGAGCACGCCAAGCTTTTTATAGGCCAATTTGGCCTTCCCTTCCAAGTGACCACGAAACTGCACACTATTCGATATGTCGACGCCAAGGATTCCGATGCAAGCTGAGGCAGCAAAGGGAGTGCCTTGAAACTGAGGAGATACGACAAAGGGGTTCTTTTTAGCGGTCGACTTCAGACACAAGTTTGTTCCGGTACTTGGCGACGTTTTCCCGAGAAATATTGGCAAGTCGGTGTATAAAGCATCACCAGTGCTGTCGTCTGCATAGCAATGAATGTTACCGGTTTGCAACATATCATTGATATGCAGAAAAATGGTGATAGCATGCAGTCTTGTGGAACACCAGCGTTAATGGGCTTGTAATCGGAGCATGTACCGTCTACTACGACCTTGATGCTCCGATCTGTAAGAAAACTGGTGATCCCATTGCATAATTTCCCGGGAAGCTCATAGGTAGGCAGCTTCGAAAGAAGCGCTTTGTGCCAAACTCGATCGAAGGCCTTCGCTATGTCCAAGCTAACGGCCAAGCCTCCCCCTTGCACTCCATTGTCTCCGCCCATCTATGAGTTAGGTAACCTAGAAGATCACCAGCTGAGCGACCTAGACGGAAACCGTACTGGCGGTCACTAATCAGCTGGTGATCCTCAAGGTACCGCATGAGCTGGCAGTTAATAATGGTTTCCATTACTTTGGAGAACAAGGAGGTGATAGCGGTAGGCCTGTAGTTGGACGGATCTGAGCGGTCGGCTTTTTTAGGGATCGGATGCACCAACGCTTTGTTCCATGAGTTCGGGACTACGCCTTGGGAGTTGGAGTACCGGAAAAGACTCGTTAAAACCGGTGCCAATTCCGGACCACACGTCTTCAGCACAATAGGTGGGACTCCATCAGGCCCACTCGACTTGTTGACGTCTAGGGAGAAGAGTGCTTTACGCTCCGAGCGCTGTCTAAACAGCACTTTCTGCATGGAACACTCACACCGCGGGATGGTTGGCGGTGTGTTCCCTCCGTCATCTAGAGTTGAGTTGGAAGCAGAAAGAGAGCCTAGCAGATCGACTTTCTCCTTTGCGTCATGGGCCAGTGAGTTGTCCACCCTGTGCAGAGATAGCAGAGATAGCAGAGATGGCTGACAGTAGTTCCCTTGGACAGCCTTGGCGAGAGACCAGAATCAACAACCAATAAGCTAACCCCATAAGTACCCCATTAAAGTTTCAACCAAATCGTCAAGTCGTTCAGGAGAAGTACTCCCTACGACTAACACGCACGCACGAATTTTATAAATAAAGAATATTTGAATGATTTTTAAATACACGATATTATTTTAGTCATAATTTGACTCATTGATATCACTAATTTACATAAATATTTGCAAAAGTGAGTCATACATAGAGTCATAATCATCCATTGGCGGTTATATGAAATTCTTAACACATCATGTTGTAATGCGAATCGTAGAGATAACTACACTATTATTTTTAATCTAGACATTGCACACTAGAATAATACTTATGCATAAAGAAAAGAAGATTCATAGTTTGTTAATAAAATAGAACATTTATTAAATATAAAGTAAACGTTATGTGTTGGTGCTAGTTTTTTTTTTTATTATTACGAGAATTTCAACTACTTAATATGTACGCTATTATAATTATTTGTATTTAGCGCTTTTAACAGTTTGCATATTGAAAATTATGGCTCAGTTTTCTTGATTAAATTATATAACACTGAAATATTTTTGTTCTAGTAGTATTTCGTGTTCACACACACTGGTTAGAGATATCTAGTGACTGTGGTTAATATTTTGTACCGTAAAGTAACGGCCTTTTGACGTCTTCCTGTACGGGTTGTGGTCACTCTTATCAGGTTCCACACCGTTCAAATTCATATAGTACGTTCGGTTAAAGATTTCACTTCAGCGGTAGGTAAATACTGGTAATCTTATTTCTGATAAGTTAGCAATAGTAAAAGAAGCAAGTGAAAATTTTTCGAGGACGTATATGATTTTGCACTTGCAGGTTTCGGCGCATTTACTTACTCTGCCGAGCATATTGGTAAATCGCGCTAATTTTTACTTAATAATTCTACATACATCGGCCTAATATATTTTTCCCGTCAGTTATTTACAGAGTTTATTCTCGGATGAATGATAGGTGAAGGGATGAAAGAAACAGTGTATTATATTAACTTGACGTAGAATTTAATAATATTGTGAAATAAATAATACTTTATTTTCAATTGTCGTACTTTATTTTTTTTAGCTTACAAAAGTATATATACTTTATTTAGTCAATAATTTAAAATGAAAAATTTTGTACAACCGACTTCAATATAAATTATTAAGGAGAACTTAAAAACTATTGCTCAGACCTTGATCGACTTTATATGGGACCACATGACAAGCACCAGCTTTCAAATAAAAAAAGAATCATCGAAATAGGTTCACCCAGAAAAAAGTTATGAGTTAACACACATAGAAAAAATACAGTCGAATTGAGTCTCCTTTTTGAAGTTGGCAGAAAAAAGGTGGCAACCCTATAGATCTCCCCTGTTGAAGAGAGTATTTGTCTTAACCGTCATGATGGGTAGGCGGATTGACGATCGCAGTGCCTAACGTCTCGCATCTTCGACGCGGCTACATGTCGATAGCATGAGTATTTTTACGTATGACGTACAAGAGATGAGTAATACCCCATCTATCGGAACCCATATTAAACTTATGGAATTTCCTATAATGGCCTCTTACGACACTCACGGGACGAAATGGGAGTAATGGGATCCCTAATGCCATCACCACACGCTGGTTATGGTTAATAATTATTGTACCTTGTTAATTAAAAACTTTATCATTAAATTTTAATCTATTACGACGGTATTCAACCTAGTAACCCTAATTCTATAAAAAAAAAGTTATTGTTAAATCAGCTTAGAGGAAAATTGTCACATAACCCTCCTTTGTTGTGTAAAAGAGTATGATTCAACGGAATCAATTATCCAACCTAAAAATAATGTTATTTTTCAAAGGTCCGTCTTGCATATACAATTTGTGAAGTAACTGTGCATGATGATTACGTGTGTTTTGCCGACTTATTACGTGCTGTACGCTAAAACTGAACAGTGATGTTAATCATGCTTAGTTTGCGGAAATTCTCTAAAACTCATTGAGTCGGATTTAATTTCTGTTTTCGGAATTTATTTAATCATGAACTGTATGTTGTCACTTGGACACTGTACTCGTAAATATTTGCAAACACTGGTACTACCCTTCAGCGTTCATGAAGGATGGTTTGAAAATATTGTTGGAGCGTCGAGAAGAATCACAATATAAATATAAACACGAAAACCAATAGTTCTGGTTTTCGCAAAAATATTGTTTTTTTTTTTCTGGAATTTGAGACCTGAACCAGGTGTGCTTATTACCTAACAGGAAGTTAACCGGGCTTTCTTCATCTTTTGATTATTAAGTAAAATCCGATCTATGGCACACTGCTTTCACAGTTTCCTGAAGTCTTGCAGAGCAGCGAGCCATATTTTGAACGGAATTAGGATATAATATTAAATCTGACATAATGTGTAGTGACCATCTTGAATTTGTTAACAGACTTCAAAATTTCTGGAACGTCCGTATTCGCTATTTGTTTTAACAAGTTTGTTCAGAAGCTCTAATAAACTCTAGTTTAAGCGATGCAGTAGATAAATTAATTCTATCTTGAACAGAAAAGCAATGTTTAAATAAAAAAAGAACATAGATTTGTCTCTTGCACGACTCCTAGCACTACATTTTTACAATCCCTGCATTACGCCTCATCATCATACCCAGTCATCCGTCTGGGCCAGTCTTGAATAAAGGCCTAATTTTTGTTAACAGTTGTAACATGTTGTAGTTGAAGTTGTTGAAGTTGGTTCACGTAAAAATAATATCCTTAGTAAAGCAGTTAGTATCAGAGAGATATATACAGGTTAACCAGACAAAATATCAAGAAAAGTTTTCCGTTTTAGAATTTTCTAAACGTGAATCATTCATAAATTAGTCTTTGATATATTCTTATTTTTATTTGTAACAAAAATTGTTATTAATATAAATAAATTTGGGTTCATTAATACTTTTCAAAGATAATATTTGTAAGTCGTATGACGACCACCAACACTCGCTGAAGCATCGCAATTGATTTCAAAATCATCTCAGACCGCTATGAGCCGAACATAATTTTATATAGGCTCTAACTTTTACTTTACTTACAACGTACATTAGATGGAGTGACGACCGGATAAGACATGTAGGAAGTCAATGGATTCAGGTGGTTTAGGACCGTGTTTTGTCGCAATACTTGAAAAAGCTGTGCAAATGCTAAAAGTGGACTTGTGAAGGGTGATACTACTTACTTATACTTTATTACTTTTTCTATCCTTAAAAGTTCACTGCTGAACATGGACCTCTCTACTACTGGGCAAGGAGGATTTGCCTTAATCATCACGCTTGGCAGTCGGGTTGACGATCGCAGTACCAGACGTCTCGTAACTTTGACGCTGCTACCTGTACCGGGTACTTTAATTTGGCGTAAACTAGATGACTATACCGCTATTTATACCGCTCTATTGTATATATTAATGCGGGGTAACGGATTAGTAAGCTGAAGTGGCAATGGGCCAGTCATATAGTTTGAAGAAGTGAAGACCTTGTGAGACATGCAAAAAGTCGATGGATACAGGTGGCTCAGAGCCGTGCTTTGTGGCAGGCCTATGTTGATCCTATGTTGATGATTGTGTGTATGACCTCCAAGCCATAAGGTTTTAATCTGGAAATTCTCATAATCGCCTCACCCACGGGAGGAAATGGGATGATGGACTCGCTTACGCCCATAACATTCGTTAAGATGGATGATGTGTCATATGTATGATTGTGATACATTGATAGTGTAATAGTAAAATCCATACCTGTGGTAGCAAATGATAGTATTGTGATCGCTGTTGTTAGTGCAGATTTTTCCCTCGCCATTTTTCGGCTTCTCTATTATTTTTTTCCGTTTTTCTTTATCGCTGTCGCTCGTATTCGCCAGCTCTCTCTGGTGTAGTCTGGCTCAATTCGTTGTTTGAATTATGTATCGGTGTCGGATTAACTTCAAAACTTCTCGAACTGTAAATTGATTAGTTATATGGTTATTAAAAAAAAAAATTTTCATGTAAAGAAAATAAATTAGTAAAAAGAAGTGTTTTAGCTAGTTTCAATATTTATACGTATTTTAATTATTTCTATAATGTAATTTATTTATTATATATGCATTATTTTTAATTATTATATATTTTTTATTGTTTAAATTTTGTACCCTTGCTGAGGCTGTGATACTTCATTACTTTGAAACATATTGATGGGCCGCGTATCTGAATCGTATTAATTTATTTTTTATTTTATCGTCCGTTAATTGTCGTTATTTTTCAAAAGGTTTTTATATTTATATACATACATATATAATTTTGTCCCAACAAAATATATGTCAGTAAAATATATATGGATTGCAATGATTTATATTTATATATAAGTAATACATATTATCCTGATAAAAAAAAAACATTTGTGTCACGTACGATTAAGTAATCACTGGGTTGTGATCAGAGAAAGCATATTATGGCCTTTTCCAGCCTCCTCGACTATTTAAATACCATTAAAATTTAACCAAATCAAAAAACCTAATTTGAAAATTTAACTAAGTCACATTATCTTTTAGCGGTCAGCAACCAACAGTCTATTTTGCTTCTGATGATGCTTCGTTTAGAGGCGAAGCACGTATCACATTATCGACGGTGGTGTCTCTCCTGTGTAATGATGGTGTTGGAACCATTGTTGACGGTGATAGTGCAATCAATTGAGTGCGGGCAGGAGGTAAGGATTTCAGACTAAGTACTTACGATACATGATTTTTATTTGTCACGCGGATTAGCTAATACAATTTAACTATAATGGATTTTTGTAACGTCTGATTCTATTAATGATCTTAAAAAGGCTTGCGAATCAATAATCTCAAAAGCTATATAATCTGATGTAGAACCACCTGTGTACCGCAATGGTGGTAGTTCAGCAATGGACTTGTGACGCGTTATAATGATGATGATAAAAATGTAGTTCCGGTGGCGCCTGTCGGGCTTTACTTGACGACGGTACCAACGTACCAACCTACGGCCCGGTACCTAAGGCCCACGCAAAATACGTGCATATACGGATATACATATTATGTATTATATAATTTTATGAGCGTGCCAAGGAAATTGAATAAATTTTGTAAAATAATAAATGTAAGGAAACGGAATTTAAAAAAATATTAACAATTTCGCATACACCTGTCTTATAGAGTGGAATAGAATAGAATAGAATAGAATATTTTTTTATTCAATATAGATTATTACATAACACTTATTAAAAGTATTTTTTTTTTATTTACCACCGCTTATCATCTAGGTATCTTCTTTTGTATTACATAAATTTTCAGACATTTATAAAGTTAGCATTTTTTAAACTGGACGTAAACATATCGAACACATGTGTCGTAATGCATAATATACCTGCGTAAATAAATATCGATGCAATTTAGCACAGTTTTGTTGTTTTCAAGGCTGCGTCGCGCTTGATAGCGATCTCTGGCCTTTCAAACTGGTACCCTGAGTGCGGTCGCTTTCGGCAAACTGGCCGATGATATGATAATAAGAATAATTAGGTATGCTTTTTAACTTCTATATATAATTTTTTTCATTATTTTATACCAAAATATTAGTAGGAACTGATTTATCAAGTGTAACGCTTAAACTGCATTAAAGTTGTACTTAGTAATGTAAAGAATAAAGAAAAATAATATAATTATTTAAATCTGCTTGTCCTGTCTGTGCACTTTATAAGATTCAGTGTCTCTATTAGAGACCACTTTCTCAACATTTCTAGTTTTTAGTAACTAGTTTCATTATTTAAGTGGAATGATAAATTAAATAAAGAAAATTGGTGATGGTAGTTAAATAGAGTATATATTATCATACACCTAAATATCTAATATATAATAACTATCATATAGTACACATTACCAGTGTCTCATACATTACAATTACCATAATTTTTTTAAATTTTACATAAATAAACTCATTAATGGTATTGATGATTTCTGACTAAACATTAGTTTCTCTTTGACGGCCTGTCTGCTGTTTGAATGTTTTTGAAAAAAGAAATTAAAACCTGTGAAATATTACATTATATAAATATGTATTAATTTTGTCGTGTAGCATTATCGTAAGAAAATTCATCGGCCTCTCGTTCCATGAATAGCCTGGCGTGTGCGAGCAGTATTTTTTTTATACAATAGGGACAAACGAGCATGCGAACACGAGGCTGCTGGTAAGTGACTACCGTCGCCCATGAACAACTGTAACACCAGGGGAATTGCAGGTGCGTTGCCTTTTCTTGAAGGTCCCGTTTGGCCTTTGAAGTAAAATATCTCGTATTTAAGACAACATAGTTATAAAGTTATATATAGTTATATAAAATAATATCCTACTTGCTAAATCAATATTAATATAATAAAAATTATTATATATGCTGTAAAACTTTAGTTGGGAAGTTGTTTGATGGCATTCGTGATTGTAGGATATTATGTTTAGTTGTAGTCTATTGTTTTCGTGGTAATTAAGAAAAAATATGACGTTACACTTGTGATTGTATAGTTTAAAATTTGAACGCTGATATTCAACAAAAAAAAAAATGAATTCTTCAGCATAAGCAAAGCCTGTATCAAACTATCAAGTAAACGTATTTATTGTAAGGCTTCTCAAACCATCACTTGTAAAAGTAAGCTTTGGTAAAGTCGGCAATTGATTCGGTAATTTATTGTTAAAACTATTATTGCTGGGCTGCTTTAAGCTTTAATTTTAAGCTGAAATGCTTCTTTGAATAAGTACTATTAATATATCCCCAATTGAATACAAAAGTCGGTCAATCTTTCGCAAGGACTTGGTCCCCAGCTTCAGTAAGCTCGGTCAATGCACATAATATGACACCGGTTCTATTTAGCAGCAAGTTTCAGTTACTAAATCCGATTCGAATAATTGTATAGACTATAGATTGACTGAAGCACTGTGATATATTCGTTGTTTATTCTATCTGCTTGAAAAATGATATTGATATTATAAAATCTATACTTTCAATTAATTGTCTTTGTTTTTTCTTTTATTTAAAAGAAATATAATGTTAGATTTAGAAGTGATTCAAGATAAGCCATTTCAAAAATATCAACATAAAAGCGTGAACTTTCTTTTAATTTATTATCGTTTAGAGGCAGTCAAAATGAATCTCACCGATCTCCCTCAATCTCTCATTCTTGGTGACTTAATACAATAAAAACACTGAAAGTTTTAATACATAAGGGCCATTTTATCATTTTCGTAACATTAACATTTCATATTTTTACTATAGACAGTGTCAATAAACGTTCTATTTACTAACAAGTAGTCTTACTGAAATTCCTTATTAGTTTACTTTAAATTCAACCCGATCTGTTCGTCATACGGGACAATCAGAGTTATCACATCAGTTGTAAGAAAAAATAAAAACAAAAAAAAAGTATCATTACTATTGCAATCTTTTAATCTTTTTTTTTATTATTTAATCTTTTATTATTATTTTTTAAAACGTTACCCCCACACTAGAATTTTCTCCTGTGTCGTGGAGGCAGTTTACAAACATAAATTGCACAAGGACAAACATCCAGTTCCGGATTAATTATTTGTAGGCCATGCAAATACTTGTTCCGTGCGGGATTCGAACCCGCGGCCCCCAACGCAACAACTGATTGCTAAGCCACTGCGCCACGGAGCCGTCAAGAGCCGTCAATGGCTGTACATTACTGATAACGTAAAGTGAAACCGGTTGTTTCCGAAATTTTGAATGTTAAATAACTAAAGATTTATAATTAAACAAGTTCTATGTATTAATCCTAAAATTACCAATGATATACCTATAAATACCAAGTGACAAAAATGGCGAGTATAAAATATTTCCATTTCAATAAAATAATTAAAATTATACTTATGCCTTTTTTGTGATAAATTAACATTATGATAATTTTGTCTATTAACAGTCGACAAAATGAGACATGCGTCATAATGTCGTCGTGCGTCATGTATAGCTGTTGATGGAGAGTCGGTATTCTATATAAAACTGTGAGGTATTTCATCTGAGTCCTCCGAAGTCACAACAACGCACATGTTTTAGCGTAACAAAAACCTATGCACTCTTGTCTTGAAGACGCACAGATGGTATTTGAACGGATAAACAGACGCTGGCAAATTATTCCACTCCTTTGCTGTACTCATCAAGACGAAGCAAACCGTATAGTTCACTCTCACAGTCACACTCTCACTGTCACTCGAAGTTTATAATAAAACTAGCTGTTCCCCGCGACTTCGCCCGCTTGGAATTTATTACGATTGGATTTAATGGTTTTATTTTTATTTTTTTTTCCGCTGAACACTATTTTTTTTTTCTAAAATAAAAGTAGCTTAAGTTACACCTTTTAATATTAGCTGGAGATTAGCCGGAACAAACAGACAGACAAAGTTTTTAGAATTGTTTTTTTTTTGGTATGTAGAAATTATATACAATACTTATAGTACTGTATATAATTTCATATGCATTTAGTAAAAGCTGTTATTTTGACATTACAAACAGAAACTTTAATTTTATTTATTTGTATAGATGTATAGATTGTATTTTTGACCATTGTTTTGTGATCTGATGTAGCCTAAAAAGCTGTCCGGCTTTTGATTGCGTGTCGTCAGATTTATCTTCATCTGCGAAGTTTATAATACTCGTACATGGTTACATTTTAAAGTCGGTAATACGCTCGCAAAAAAACGGTAGAGCGTATAAGGAACTTTATTACCTAGTCCAATAGAGTCTATAGATCACGGTAATGCTTTGAAAAACCTTATCAAATTTTTCTTTGATTTGTTAGTAAATAAAAGAGAAAAGAGCCTACTCCTTTTTAAAAGGCCGGCAACGCATCTGCAATTCCCCTGGTGTTGCGGTTGTTCATGGGCGGTGGTAGTCACTTACCATCAGGTGAGCCGCATGCACGTTTGCCCCCTCTCCTATATAATAAA